CCTGTTAGCAAATACCACCTGAGCCTTCTGTTTGCAAGCTGACACTTCATCCATGATGCGCCACCGGGTGAGATGTAGCTGCCCAAATAATAAATCCTATCCACCTGCTCTATTACGTCTCCTATTAGGGTGAGCCCGAGGTGCTGGACCGACCCAGTCTCGAAGTAAAAGTTTACACTTTGAAGGTGCAAAACGCATACCGAACATGGCTACACTAGCACTCAAACTTTCCAGAAGATTGCAACTTAGCTGGATTTTCGCTTAGCAGCACAATGTCGTCTGCATATTCTAAATCAGACAGCCTGCCATCTGGGAGTAAATCGATGCCATTATCCTCGCACGAGGATAGGGCTGTTTCAAGAATCAAGTCTATAACAAAGTTAAATAAAAAGGGAGAGAGGGCAACCGATTGGTGCCAATTGAGACCAAAGGATTAGTCGGTTGTTCCGTTTCTTTATTGGTTACCTGGAAGTTGTACTACGGTGCGTGCGTACTGGTTACAGGATCACCACAAATTTTAGCCATCAAGAGTGTTTCATCAATTTGACTTGCTTTTCGTCGTGATGTCCTTAGCGTTCCGCTGGTTGAGGTTGCCGATTCTGTCGGTTGTACTGCATCTTCTTGTTCAACATCATGACATTCAAGAACCGCAGCGTCAGGAGGTTGAGAATTGCTAGGGTTATCCGCTTCTTCATGGTGTTCTGATGTACCAGCAGTTCGTTCGTCTTTTAATTGTATCTGGTCGATGTGCCATCGTTGAACATTTGCATATGTTGAATCGGTTATCTCCACCATTGACTGACCCAAGTTTCTAGTGATGATGCCACGAACCGGGTGCAGATCGTTGCCCCTGAAGTATGTCACATCAGTAGAATCCACACATATCAAGGAAAACCTCAGGCACCGTGACTTAAATAGCTATGCCGGACTTTTCTTATTAGTCGCATGTGTCGCGTTTCGGTATTGCAGTAGGAAGCTGTCCAGAGCTGTCTCCAAGTCGATAACTGATTTTGGATTCGCGGATGCCAGTGCACTCTTATATGTTTTCAGAAGATTCTCAGCTTGATTATTAGAAAAGTGAGGTCTTGGGGCTGTACGTAAATGTCGACATACAATACCATCGAACCAAGCTTTCATCTCCGTGGCGCTAAATTGAGGTCTCGGTACCATAGTGCATAACTTTCTGGCCATTACTTCGTGCATACACGCCTCACAATTCTTCACAGTTACGCAAATATCAGAATCCAAATCAGGCCACTACCACATTATTCGAGCCAGAGATTTCATCTTCCCCACTCTCAAATGGTCTTTGTGGAGGTCCTCTTATACTGACTTTCGGAGCGATGGAGGTATGATCACTCGATCACCGCGACAGAGGACTCCGTCCGGTTGCACAGCCAACTCCTCCCGATGGATGTAGAGATGAGGATATCTCTTCATTATATCAGGAGGCCATCCTTTCGATAGGGCGGAAATAATCACTGAGTAGTATTGTTTTGTATATTTTCTCAATGCTTCCCACAAAACCGGTGATAGTAGGGCGACAAAATTACATTTCTCTGCGGTGGTAAAGCGTGAGTACCTAGATAGGAAATCTGCCTGTGGAAGTGTTTTGCCTGGAAGATGTATAACATCATAATCGTAAGCTGACAGTGCAATACTCCATTGTTTAGGCATGGCGGCTTTTTTAGCGATAGACTTGTTGGGGTTGAATAAGAATTGTAGCGCATGATGATCCGTCACAATAAAAACGTGGGTCCAAAAAATACTTGTGCAGTCTCCGGACGGCCCAAAACACGGCCAAGACTTCTTTCTGGGTCAGTGAGTACCACTTCTCCGCTTTATATTTACAGTACCGCATCATTCGCTACTGTTCGGAGTCAAATAAACCTATAGAACATTTAAAGTTGGTTTCTGCGGTTGCGCGTCACCAAACGTTGGCCTAGATCGTCCCTTGGATTGAACAGTAGAACTGAGCAAACTTCTTTACCAAATGCCGATTGAGTTACAAACACGATGGATTACCTAATCAAAAACTACATGTATATATACATATACATATACATATATATATATATATATATATATATATATATATAATCAATATGTGCTTGCGTATTTTAGCCTGCGTGTACAACGATGGTACGAAACACGGGACCGCATAACGCTGAGTTGAAATTCATAACAGAATGAGCAATAGAAACAGCGAGAAAATTAAGGCCAGAATTCCAAGTAT